AATTCTGCCCACGCAATACAATGAACCTTTCCTACAACAATTTCTTGATGCTCTGGCCGTCGCAGAGGATAATAAACGGCGCCCTATCTGCTGCATCGAGCAGGGTGGATAGGGGTTTGGATGCTACTGCTCATGCCTTCCCGTCTTCTTATACCCCTTCTTGCGCTTCTGCATCCTTATTGTCCCGCTCCAACTTTACTTATATCCCCCCATTTTCAATCCCCCAATCCTTGGCCCTCCCCCAGCTTACTTCAATAGTCGCTTGTCTTCTAATTTCAAATCACACACAATCGCAGGGCCTCGCTCCAATCCAGTCGATAAGTCCATGTTCAACCAAGCGGACAACGTCAGTTCATCCGTTTCCCATTGGAGTCCTCGTGTCTCGATAAGATTGGCATGCCTCAACGTGCGCACTTTGCTGCAGATTGGCCAACAGGCAACATTTGCCCGCACACTAGAGACCCTATCGATCGATATTTGCTGTTTATCAGAAACCCGCCTGCAAGATTCGAGCCCCATGCTTACCATGCGATCCCCCACATACGACACTGGCTGCGCATTCTCATTGCGCCTATCTGGCGATGATGCAGCTTCAAATGCCGGTCAAGCCGGCGTCGGCATTGTTTTGAGTCCCCGGGCTGAAGCTGCCCTGCTTGATTGGATCCCAGTAAACAGTAGGATGTGCGCCGTTAGATTAGCTGGTTCGTTCCGTGCTTCGAAGTCGCGCGGGGACAAACGGTGCCTGTTTGTCATTGCGGCCTACGCCCCTACAAACTGTAGCACTGATTCGGTAAAAGATGATTTCTACCAGCAACTTCACGAGCTCCTTCGTTACAGAAGAAGCACGGATACTGTGGTGCTGGCTGGCGATCTAAACGCCCAAGTCGGAAAATTGTCCTCTGATGAGCTTCATCTGGGCGGCCAACATGGTGTAGGCTCCCGTAATGATAATGGTGAGCGATTGCTCCAGCTGTGTGAAGATGCTCGATTGTTTCTCGCGAGCACTAATTTTCGACACAGCACCCGCAGAAGTGTGACTTGGCGGCCACCAGCCTCGGGCCAGTCATGGACGCAAATCGATCATATCGCGATCAGTTACCGCAGGAGAGGCTGTGTCCAAAACTGTCGCTCGATTTGGAGCACGAGCGTGGACTCTGACCACGCACTTGTCTGTGCCGACCTCCTGATGCGCTTCGGTGGACGTCCGCAACGTCGATGTGAACGGATTGACACTAGGCAGCTGGCGAAGCCAGATGTTCTGAATGTGTACCAAGATGCGCTGACATCTGGGCTGAGTAAGCGCCCACTAAACACCGTTGAAGATCACTGGTCGCACACTCGTCAAGCGTTGCTATTAGCAGGCATGTCTTCATGTGGCAAAACAAACTGCCAAACCGGACATTGGGTCTCTACACAGTCTCTGGAACTTATGGATGCTCGCCGACGTATTCCGGCTGGAAGCGAATACAATGAATCTCGCAGAAATCTCAGGGCGAAACTACGTGCTAGCCTAAAGATGGACCGCGAAACCTGGTGGTCTCATCGTGCATCTGAGATGGAAACAGCCGCTGCCATTGGTAATCATCGTAAGTTATACCGTCTGATACGGGAAACAGGCAGCAGGAGACCTGGTGTTAGCGAGACCATACGCGACGAGAGTGGGCAGATGATCCACAGCCTGTCAAAACGCTTGGAGCGTTGGGCTGAACACTTTGCTATGCAATTTAACCAACCTGAGTTATCACTTTCTTCGGGCATTGAACGCCCTTCTCCTTGGGCCGTCTCCCTGGATCCGCCCTCACGCGCTGAAGTCGAACGTGAGAGCAGGCTGTTGAAATTGCATAAGGCCGCAGGAGCAGATACTATTCCTCCAGCCCTCTTCAAGTTCGGTGGACCTGCTCTAATAGGTGATCTACACGAGTTGCTAGTAAAACTTTGGGAACAGGAGACAGTCCCGACAGACTGGAACCGCTCCGTCATTGTCCCAATTTTCAAGGGAGGCTCCCGTTTGGTATGTGGCAATCATAGAGGGATCAGTCTGATTTCGATTGCCTCTAAATTGCTTGCCTCTCTCATTCTCCACAGACTGATTGGCACTCGTGAAAGCCAAATTCGTGAAGAGCAAGCCGGATTTCGTCGAGGTCGGGGCTGCATCGACCACATCTTCACACTGCGTCAAGTGTTGGAGCACCGCCATGTTTATTGGCGACCCACCGTTGTCGTGTTTCTTGACATAAAAGGTGCCTTCGACTCAATCGATCGATGTGCCCTTTGGGACTGTCTGTTGAGGAAAGGTGTGCCTGATAAATATGTAAACATTATCAAAGCGCTGTACGCACATAGTTCGGGCAGGGTGAGGGTTTATGGCAAACTCTCGCCACCCTTCAGTATCACCAGCGGTGTGAGACAAGGATGCCCGCTGTCACCTTTCCTCTTCAACTTCGCTATTGATGAAGTCATGGAAACAGCGTTCGCTGGACACGACCTAGATGGTGTGGAGCTACTCCCTGGTGAGCGACTTCTTGACTTGGAGTATGCAGACGATATTGCCCTAATCTGTGACGGCTCCCAAACATGCCAAACAGCACTGAACCGATTAGCACTGGCTGTCAGTCGTTTTGGGCTATGCTTTGCTCCATCGAAATGCAAAGTACTTCTCCAAGATTGGCAGGGACCCAATCCTGCGCTAACGCTTGGTGGTGATCTGCTAGAAGTCGTTCAGGAATTCAAGTACCTGGGCAGCTATATTAGCACCCGTGGGATTGAAGATGAGGTTACGAACCGTATAGCAAAAGCTCGAGGTGCTTTTGCCAATCTCCGCCACCTGTGGCGCAGACGCGACATTACTCTCGCCCTCAAGGGCAGAGTTTACAACGCAGCCGTCCGTTCAACTCTCCTATATGGCTGTGAAACCTGGCCCATCAGGTCGACAGACATGAAGAGACTCGTCACGTTCGATCATCGCTGCCTTCGCAGCTTAGCTCATGTCTGGTGGGAACACCGCGTGAGCAATGAGCGTGTTCGACGTCGCGTATTTGGTGCAGGAAGAGCGAGTGAACCGCTCAGCACGATTATATCACGCACCAGGCTCCGATGGCTGGGCCACGTGTTGCGCATGCCAGCACACCGACTCCCACGACGTGCATTGTTTGCGCGTTGTGAGTGCGGTTGGAAGAGGAGGAGGGGAGGCCAAGTGATGACTTGGTCGCGAGAAATGAAAACCCTCACTTCGAAGTTGGCGTCGGTTGGTGCATCCCGACTGCCTGGCTGGGGTCCTAAGGACGGTGAACACGTTTGGCTGGACACACTTGCTGATATGGCTAGGAGCCGGCCCCAATGGCGTTTGTGTTGTGAGTTCCTTTGTCCATCCCCCTCCTGTTTAGCATCCCCCTCCAATCACGATCTCAATCGTTAGGCATAATATGACTTTCTTTTACGGCAGCCAGCTGTTAGCTCTCCGGAACGATGTCCATCCGTTACTGGGGACTCAGCGGGCGTGCCACTGTTTGTTTGTTTTTTCTTTTCTTGCCTTTTGTATTGCGGCACAATAGCTGAGGTGTTTTCCACCTCCAGCTAACGTGTAATGTTGTTGTTGTTGAATTATCTTTTTTACATAGTGCACATCAGCTGAGGCGTGATACACGTCCTCAGATAACGTGTATTGATGATGATCATGACTATAAATAAATGCTTGTTCAGATACTATTGAGCCATATCCTAAACTGTCAGCAGCGGTAGTCACCAGTGCAAAATTAGTGGGTGTCCTTCCACCAATACAAGGTAACGACTATCACCAACGCTTGACTGCCTGCACTTTCTAAACAGGGATTAAAAAAGCAAGCAAAATTAACCTTACCAGGACTGTCAGGAGTCCGCTAACAGTCCGAGCCGGACTTCTAGCGAACTCGGGGAATTCGGGATTCAATTGAAGACAGCTTGCAAAGGAAGTAGTGTTTCTGGGTGCCACTCGTTTCATCTGCACGCTCATAACATGCATGACAATGGAGGCTGAGCCGCGCTACATCGCCGTTAAATATGAGTTATGGCGGTCCTCTGCCATCACATATAGTTCCGTGGCACAAGTTTCTGGCTAGCAAGAGTAAGGCCGTGGGTTCGAATTCGGCGCGATTCGGCGGGTGCGCGCTACTGACGAGTCCCAATAGAACGAAGTGGTCGGCTAGTGCTTGCATGGCTGTGTGGTGGCCGTTTGTTGAAGTCTAACTGCGAAGAACCTTCACAGTATTGTCACTAGTTTGATATAATACCTATGTTTTGTTATGGAACATAGCACGAAAACGCATTTCAATATTATGTGCGAGGATTCGCTATAACTGCCGTGGAACCGCTAGTTATTTGTTTCTAATGCGTTCGTA